TTCAGTGAACCCGCGTGAAGTCGGGTCAGCTTGGGAGCTTCTACCCGGCTGGTCTGTATGGCTGTGACTGTGGTCTGGACAGATGGCTGTCCTCCGATGCGGCCTCTTGGCCTTGACTCTTCTTAGCCAATACTGTCTGCTTCTTTTAAGCATCTCCATCTCTTGAGATATAGCGGAGAAGCGGGACCCAAACATCGACTCCATCACCCCTTTCTGCTGGTTGAAGTGCTGTTCCAACATGTTCATAGAGAACGCAGAAGTACATTCATTCGCCGGAGTAGGTAGAAACGCTGTGATAGGGTCAGTGGCTAGGTCTATAGCCGCAATGAGTTGACTGACTAACGGACACGCACTACCATAAGCTTACTTGGACCCTCGGCCGTGGTTCGCTGAATCAATGGTACTCGTATAGGATCAGGCAAATGTTCTCAGCATCTGATTGATAAAACGACTAGCTTCGTCGCGTGTGCGCTTGTACTAGTCCGGACTGTAGTGCTAGCTCACTGAGATACCATGCCGCAGTTTAACATGAATACCCCATTCAGACACAGTATACTGCCCCAGAGCCGACCAGTCCTTTTTTAGCCTCTTAATGTCGAGCGCCAGACAGTGTAACAACAAGTACGCGGCCAGGGATCGAACCACGTACTTTCGCAGGGATGCGCGGAAATAACTTAAGTTTTTCAAAATTGTAAGAGATAGTAGCTTCAAGTAATATTTGTATGAGAAGACTGAACGAATTACATTACAACCGGCAGTGAAGTGTGACTGTAAATGCTATGGCTACCGACGATCTTGTTAAGGGGTATGACAGGAAATTTCAAAATTGACGTTTTTGGATCAGTGGTGCACACTACCCCTACGATTGTCAAACATTCATTCACTCGACAAGGCATATCGCGTATGAGTATCCAAATGCCGACTTGAGGGAGTCTGGCCCACTCCTCCCACCCCTAGACGCTCCGCGCCTTGCAGACGCCGCACCGCTAATTCATACACAAACATTACTTGGTATTAACATTTATAGTTCTGGATCATGATCTCCTACTTTTCTAAAGAGTATATATACCGACCTGCCCAGTATCAAGAATTCCCTCACTAAATACACCACTACATACACCACCACACACCTCACTCGTAATAAGTCCAATGATTTTGTTCTCTCATTTCATTTCAATGAACAAATTCCTCAATCAAGAAAGAATGTCCTAAGTGATATGTTTCTATGAAATGATGGATGCGTGACTAAAGTATTGAAACTCTGTGAAACACGTAGTTTGTAGTTGTAGCCCTATTAAATAAAAATAATTCCTGCTAATGTTTGTGAATGAATACATTTGAGGTTTGTATCGTAACTTACACAAAACAGGAAGCCATGAACTGATATCTCCCACATAGTGGAGGGCAGAACCATCTGAAACGACCATGAGAACGTCATACGTTATGTTCACACATCATTGCAAACACATGCAGTTTAGACATTTAAGTATGATAGGGTGCAGCATGTCTCATTCTGTACCTCAGACAAAAGATGTCAAGACAACATTGCCCTCGCACACACTGTGTACAATACAGGGGACCATTCTTTACTAATATAAGAGACCGACGATTTGATATTCTGACATTATTGCAAGGTTCATATCTGGAAATAATAAAATATATCTGGTTTTGTAGATGTACCTGATCCCCTCCCCTCCCGAATCTCAAACGGTCGGTCCATTATGTAATCATATAGCATTTTTAGCATTTAGAGAGGTATGGTACCAAAGCATTGGCAATTAATTACTATGGCTGTGCTAACATCATAAGAAATTGTTTCTGTATTTGAGTATTCAAATGCATTGTCAAATTTTACAAACTTTTCTCCAATGATCTAAGAATATACCAACCTTCCTTCGTAGAGAGAATAAAGTCTTGATAATGGGTCATGGCTGCCTTGTCGTCTGCAATCATCTGTATAACCAAGGAAAGTTACATGTAGTTTATCATAAGCATTATAACATCCTTAGAAACTATGGTAACAGGCCTTACAGGATGTAACAGGCCTTACAGGGTGTAACAGGCCTTACAGGATGTAACAGACAGGCCTTACAAGATGACGTATTGATAATATCAATGACATATTTTTCAACTTCAAATTCAGCGCTGCGCGTCATCGACACTAGTCCTCTCCATGCTGGCAGAGCCTCACGCTTTACCTGTATGATGAAACGTAAAGGGTTCGATGTGACTATTGGCCACTGTGATAAAGTTTTGGAATCTTTGCTGCAGCTGAATGAAGACAGGTTTTACATTAGTCTATGATAAATTTGTAGCACCAACCCCAAACATGACATTTTGACATAAATATAGAAAATGTTGTTGGAACTTTAATTCTCTACGAAGAAAAACAAGTAGATCTGAAAGAATGTTTGGGTCAATTTGAAAAATTAAAGAACGTTAAAAAGTTACAACTACATCAGTTGCTAGGAAAACGTCACGTGCGGTTCATGGACGTTTATGAGGCGTCTTATTGTCTTAAATTTAGCGGAAAATTGTTTACTCTTAATGCGTTGTCGAGGTCAAATTCTGTGAACAGTTTAATGGAACTACTTTTGCTCTTAAAGGTAAAGTACTTCCCTATCGTGGATGTGCCACTGATGCATGCGAGGAACGCGGCGGCAGCGCTTGGTGACATCGGTGCTATGTAAAGTGGAAGAGTCCACCCCCTGCGATTAGCGATCAGCAAATCAATATTGAACAATTGGTAACTTTGTTTCTGGCAGTGCAAAGATTCATTGGGACCGAAACTTAGCTGTCCTGAAATATATACAGGAAGTGACTGTTTAAACTTACAGCAAGACAAATACCAGGTGTTGTGTGTGACAGGTTATCTGGATGACATGATCGACACAACATGGTGTGGCTTGATAACTGTAACATTGACTCAATGTTATGCCACATGACAGTTAAATCATTGTTGTTTTACAGGATCAGAGGCAGCTGACCTCAAACATTTAGATTCTGTCAACAATCCGCTTGTCAAACGAGAACCAAGAAGACATATACGTCAAAGTTGAAGTGCTACCGGTGATTTTTCTTTTATTATGAATTATCTCCCCTGCCTGCATCTACACTTACTGTGTTGAGATATGCTACGTTTCTGGCAAGATCTTTGAATTTCAAATAAAATCTGTGTCTCAGCTCCAACATTAAACCAACTTTGGAAATATAGGAACCACAAACGAGTGAATTAAGAGTACAAAGTGAGGGCACAGTTAAAACAATTTCAGTCAGGTAACCAGACGGACAAACGATTTTGAACACAAACAACATTTTTCTAAAGATAAAAGGACACAAGTGATCATGTGATGATCTCTTTCAGGGTTATGTAAGAAATGGTTATATCGATTGAGCATAACTTATACAGTTCTTTAACCACAATTAAAGTATAGCAAATAGTCATTTTTAACATTGTAATTATCACTCTTACCTAAATATTTGATCATTTAATTGCTTGAATTGCACAAACTAATTACTCGCCATGCAGCTCAACATTCCATAATCGGATGTTTAACAAATACTTACATTTTCAAGCATTGCGTACAAAGGTGTTCTGCTGAGTATTCCCTGTTGAAACTGTCTTATTTGAAGGACGTGGCTTTTCTGTGTTTGTCTTCGTTGACTGTCAGTATCTAAAGCAATGTGTAAAAGTCAGTTTATGAGTTAGAGGACATAGAACTGACACACAGCTGGTTGATAGTGTGACATGAATCTCTACATCGGAATATGATCTCCTCAATATGTCCAACTGCATGGAAATACAAGTAACAAAACCCTTTCCATGACCATAACAGTTATTTTTGTCCATTGTAAGGTTTTGAAAGATGATATTAGCATGTTTTCATGAATCACTATCAAGTAGTGGTGATGCCAGGTGTTCGCGAAAAGGTGAATGTATCCTTCTGTCTTTTGTACATAAGGGGACATAATTGTGTGCTCATCATAGAACTAGACTAGCTAATCATCCCAACCAGTACTGTCGAATATTGATATCGGGAAAATGATGACATTCATACATTTACACGTTTGCCCCTGATATGACATCGTCTTCTTAACTCGTACAGTTAACTGACAGTTAAACCTACTATTTTACAACAACGACTAATTGATAGGTACAATAATTATCGAAATAGCTTTTGCACAAAGTGAACTTACAACATATGAAAATGTGATATCTCGACACTAAAAGGCACCAACCCATTACACACAGCACTGAATTTGTTGTTACATTCACCTGGGAAGTCACGTGGTGTCTTAGAAGAATCTCCGATCCTCCGATGGTCCTGGCGTTCATAGTCAGTCTGTAAAGGCAACACAGTTAGATGACACAGATCAACCTCAACCCCTATGAAGATATGAGTACCAGGTTATAAGACCGTATAACAGTTCAATGCTCCTAGGATCCTTTAATTAATTGACAGCAACTCTAAGACAACTTTCCACCGGTAAATGTTGTTGATCTGATATTCGTATGTTGACACCAACATAACACTTACAGTATCAAATCGTGGCATGTTCCGGTCCACGTAGCTTAATGTGTTCTCCCACTCAGCTGAGGAATGAAAAGAAAGTTTACATATCATCACGTGAATCGTATTTGTCAAATGTTTTATTAGTGATCGAGGGATATATCTATTTCAAGTATCCTACCTGTATATAGAGGACTCCCTACCTGTATACAGAGGACTCCCTACCTGTATATAGCGGACTCCCTACCTGTATATAGAAGACTCCCAACCTGTATATAGAGGACTTCCTACCTGTATATAGAGGACTCCCTACCTGTATATAGAAGACTCCCTACCTGTATATAGAGGACTTCCTACCTGTATATAGAGGACTCCCTACCTGTATATAGTGGACTCCCTACCTGTATATAGAGGACTCCCTACCTGTAAACAGATGACTCCCTACCTGTATATAGAGGACTCCCTACCTGTATAGAGAGGACTCCCTACCTGTATATAGCGGACTCAGCTGCAGCATTACTTTGTCCTTCTCCTGAAACAAACCAGATATCTCAGCATTGCCTGATTCACATGCGTGCGTGCGTGCGTGCGTCTGTGTATACATTAGTATTCATGTGAGCATGCGTTGAAGGACATGAGGAGCAGGGAGATGGGCACGAGGTTGCACCATTAGCTTAAGGTGCAATACAACAAATTTAATGTTGACTTGGCCATTCCTCTATCATTAACCCCGCTGTGATGTTGCTGGACTTTTGCTAAAAGCGGCTTAAATCCATACTCACTCACTCACTCACTCACTCATTTAACTGACATTGTGTGATATAATTGATTCAATGCTCTAAACAGCGTTAATCCAAAAGCCTCTACCCATTCACTTTATTTTTTTTAGCATAGTAAACTTAATTCTAATCTTTTTTATAAAAGAAATAAAGTCCAAGCCAACAGGATTTAAATACATATTCATTATTATGCGTCCTTACCCACAGTGCTTATCTCGAGTCATAGAGGGGCGGTCGGGTAGCCTAGTGGTTAAAGCGTTCGCTTGTCACGCCGAAGACCCGGGTTCGATTCCTGACATGGGTACATTGTGTGAAGCCAATTTCTGGTGTCCCCCGCCGTGATTTTGCTGGAATATTGCTAAAAGCGGCGTAAAACCATACTCATTCACTCACTCGAGTCATAATGGGTATCTTGTAGTGATTTTGTTATAAATAGCGACGAGTACATGTGAGTTGTTCTGCGACCACAGATTGTCATTTTGTTTTTGAGTAACCATGATTACCATACTTTATCATCATAAAATAGGGTTTAACTGTCTCACGTTTGTGCAAAAAAATCCCTTTGTGTTTCATCTGCTCTAATGTTCATTAATCATAACTATAGTCCTCGCCTCGCCACAAGATAGCTGCATGTGTGCTAATATTTTAGAGTGAGAACCACCACCACCCCGGATCCGGCGCCCATGACACAGCCAGTGTGTAAATGTTTTGCAACACGTTCCTTGATTTGACTGTCATTATGTAACCACGTTAAGGATGCTGATGATTTCTGTACAATAATTAGGAGATAAACATACTGTGTTTTCAATGTAGAGCCAGGTTACCTGTAGATTAAACAGCGCTATATTGAATTTGGAACCGAACGCACAGCGTGAGGTTTCAAATGTTAAACAAAATATGGCGTTGTATGTGCTCAAATAGTTTGTTTACACCATAATAGTTCACTCGAACATATGACAGGCATTGAAAGCATATAAGCACGGCAACTTGCGAAGCTAACATGAGGTGAGCATCCCTAAAGAAAACTAAGCAAGCTTTGCAAGTATTTCGTTCTATTCTGCGTGTCACCATTATGACGTCATATCGCAAATTGTGACGCAAAAGATATGACGTCACAGTCGTATATAAAAAAGCGCCAAATTCCAAGCTCTCTGTGTCTCCAAAACGTAAATAATTCTTTTTATAGATTTATATCGTGTTTTCTGGACAAAATGTATTGCCACAAGTACTTTGAATATTGGAGTAACCACAACTTTGCATTTTGTTACCTGTAATTGCAGATATAATTGATTAAAAATGCGTACCGACAATGACTGAAAAAAGTACTATTCTATTCATATTAGCTTCCGCGGTGAAGCGTCCCCCAAACCAGCTTTTTTAATCTGAGGGGGTTTATTGTGATTTGATAGCCTCTGATTGGCCAATCAGAATCGAGCAATTTTACAAATTCATGGTAGAATGTTAAATATGTGTTACCTTTTCCACGATATCCAAGTCTTCGGCAAGCTTTTCTATATCATCAAACCCTGCAGGAAAAACATTGTTTTGAAAATTAATGGACAACAACGGTAACCTCACTACCACTTATGAAGATAAAATATATAATAGTCACTATTATACCCAAACAACATCCATTATAATAACACATTCTAACGGCGGCGGCGGCGGCGTCTGGCGTCATTTTCCATGATCGGAGGCCTCGTGGCGAGTTGGTGGTTGTCGAAATGGGAGTCAACAACTGCTTCCAGGACATCTGGCAAGGTCGGTGCAGATTACTTGTGAAGTTGCATTGTATGGTGATCAAGTCCAGCTTTCATTCGTGTGAGATACACCCCGAAATGATCCCGAGGCTCTCTTTTCCGACAGGTTCTCTGATTCTAAGCTCGTCGTGTAAAACACCATGTCAAACGAAACCTCTGATGGTGACATAATGGCGTTTGATGAATCTCCTGAACGCCATTCTTGCCGCTCTGAAGCGGTTCCTGGAGGTTCTGGTTGAGGTTCTGGGTAGCCATTGTCGCTTAAGGACGGGACTAGTAGGAAATGAACGTCGTCGTACTAATCAAAGCAGTGTCCTGTGTCCACAGGAGATCGCCATGATCGTTAAAGGTCCTTCACAGCATTGTTTGACCTTGTATTCTCACCAATCGGCTGATTAATGTGTAACGGTAGCGCAGTATTTTTAAAGGACTACCCTGTAGAACGCATTCGTATTGATTTTAAATCTATTACGGATATTGACCATTGTTTTAGATTTGTTTCGTTATAACCTCCGTGAAGGTTTTATTTTTTCCCTTGTAACATCGGGTTTGAGATTTTACTTTTTCCCAGCAAGACCTGGTCTGTTTAGTCGCAGATATAGCTTGGATTCAAACGTTCATTGTTCTATAATCCAAGACCAGAAAAAAAACGGTTCGGTTATGAATGATGGATTCTATCCCACAGCCTCCTGATCATTAATCAGGCACTCTATCCATTAGACCACAGAACTAGATAAAGAGATGTGGTACATTGGAAGGTACCACGTGTAGCGTGTATTTCCTGACCATGTGTATTTCCTGACCATGTGTATTTTACGAGCATATGTAACACACTTTTATAAATGACTTTAAACAAATATTAATAAATGTTGTTTAAACGGTCCTTGTGCTATTCCCTCCTCTCGAGTTTTACATTTTCAACTTAAACCTCGGAGACGTGTTTTCTCCTGTACCTAAACATTGCAAGATAGCTGATTTAAAAACCTAAATTTGATTTCTGAACAAACTGCATTATTGACAATGCACATATAACACGCTGAAGTTCTGATGTCACCGTCAAACATGAACTGTCACATTCTTACGACAAAACATCATTCTTTCCATAATCATTATAATATTGTCATCACTTACTCTCCTGACTTTCCTCCAAATCCTTCAGCGAATGAACAGAAACCGGATCCTTCAGTGATGTTACAGAAACCGGATCCTTCAGTGATGAGACAGAAGCCTGATCCTTCAGTGATGTCTCAGATGTCCATTCCGTCAGTGATGTTTCGGATGGCGAGTCCTTCATTGTTTTATCTTTTGCAGATTCCAACAGAGATGCATGGGGAATGTTGTCCATCTTGGACTGAAAAAGGACAACAGTTACATATGTAAATACGCCCTGTGCAATTAACTCTACTACGGTAAGACTGTCAACCCTTAAAAAATGTACATGAAGGTAACTTATCTTGTTTACACTTGTATGGTGTACATCCTCCCGTGCTATAATGGTTTGCTGTTTATATCTTTTATATTGTGCCATAAGTATCAACTGCATAAGGTTAAACTTAACCTATACCATATGAATTACTGCGAGGGACAAACTTCGAAGTGTAACACCAACATTCCCAGTAGAATTAGATCGCGGTGATCCCCCACTTGTGATCCATACTCTTATTTCGGATTCGACTTGCTAGGGAATACTTCACGCTGATGGTAAACACACAAGATATTGAGCAATTGTCAGCTGCAGAAAATAAATTTCGTCTTATATTTTAACTTAAAATATTGTGGTCTCAAAGAATAAGTCGTTTATGTTACTTATAAAAACAATGTTTGATGTAAAATATGACCCAGAAACATTTCTGGACAAACTTCTATCCATACCCCAGCTATATGTATTGCTAAATTAGCGATGGCAGATTATCAGGCTTTGTATTCATGATGGTTAAAAGATCTATAATTGTACATTGCCAACACATCGCACTTGATGTAAACGATGATGTTGGTTTGAGAATAAATAAATCTTTTTCACCTCTCGAAAGATATGCGCCTATAACGAATGTACCCACTGGCTCCTCGTGTTACAGCAGCTAAGACTTACTTAACCACTGATAATCTTGCTCCATAGAGGTTAACTGAATTTTAAGTATCATTTTAAAGTTAAAGAGAATTCTGGTGATGTGATTGCTTTAATTACTTCCCACATGACCCGTTCATGGTTAAAATTTAAGTATGAAGCTCACCTTTTGACGTTTACACGATTTTGGACCGGAACTACTTTCCAGGACAATTGTGTTGTCTCCCCTGCCATCCACGATGAGGATCGGCAATATCGGACAATAACCTAACATTTTTTTTCACACAATGTTTCACACGAACGTTTATTTACATATTTGCATTACATTTAATAATTAAAGCTGCAAGCAGCAATGGCGGGCTCCAAGTAACATTGCGGACAAACGTTCATGTTCGAATCCTCAAAGGGTTTCCTTGTACCAAATCCGTCAAATGGAAGTACCACTTGCAGGGTATCCCCGCTACGAAATTGGCGTGTGCCGGGGTGTCCAAGTCTGTTCAAAATCCATTTCCAACCTCGAACATGTTCGAATCCTTAAAGGGTTTGCTTGTACCAACTCCATCAAAAGAAAGTCACCGTTTGCAAGACATCGCTGCTACGAAATTGGCATGCTCCAGGGGTGTCCCAAATATTAGTCAACTATCACCACCAAGCGGTATTACTTTTATCATGCAACCAAGAACAAACGATGAGATGCATATGGCACACTAAGTTCATGTAAACTTGCCATAGTTTCTGTCAACAACCTTACAAGATATAATCTTTAAAGTAAAATTTCGTTGAAGAAAGTGTCAAAATCAAAATGCAATACAGCCGTAACTAAACAAGATATCAAAAATCTATTAAGACAAGTTATTCTGTTGTGTATGGAGACAAAGCTCAGAAAATCTGAATGTATTTTATGTAATGGATGCAGAGGAGATAGGATTTGAAGACAGAAACCCCCCAAAACCCTGTAAAAACCTTGAATCCAATATGGCCGAAACTAAAAAAATATCAAAAATCGATTAAGACAATTTGTTGTGTTGTGTATGGAGACAATTCTCAGAAAGTTTGAATGGATTCCATGAAGGGGATTCAGAGGAGTAGGGATTTGAAGACTGGTACCCAAAAGACCCTGTGAAAACCTTGAATCCAATATGGCTGCCAAACCAAGTAACCAATGACCAAAGTTAAAGAATATGAAATGTCAAGCACCTAAAGCAGCAGACACATGCACAGTTTGAAAGTAATCGGACTTGCGGTTGCGGAGCAATAGGGCAAGACATATATTCAAAACTTTAGTCATCTGCCCTTTGTCGTTGCACCTACGGCCTTGGGATCTTTTTCGTATCTAGAACTCTATCTATCAACTGTCTTCATACACATACAAAATGTGAACGGAATCGAGCCAGTGGTTACTTTGCTAGCTCTGGTACAAAAATCGGCGGAATAATAATAATAAATAAATCGGCCGATTACAATAGGGCTTCCAGCCTTTCGGCTTGGAGCCCTAAATACCCCTCAGCATAACGTCAATGTCCTCCCTACCTGAGACCGTTTCAAGCCTCTACCACCCACCCCACCCCCCAGCCCACCCCACCCCCACCTCAGTCCTGGTGGCATGATTGTCACACAATTGTGTCAATATCGTTTGACCCGACCATGGGCATCAAAACAGGCTCTTGCTTTAAATCGAAATCGAGTGGAGTACATGAGACGTCGAATGACTTGACGCGGAATGCGGCGCCATAGCCATACTTGTGCTTGCAATTAATCTTGACTAGTTATCACGGGAACCTGTCTTTCTGTAAGTTTAGGTCCCAAAGGATCCCACAAGTGTTCAATTTGTGGACATGTCATGGGATCCGGCTGGTCATGGCAAAACTTTCACATTGTTGGCACTGAGCAAGTTCATGGTGATTCGTGCAGTGTGGTCGGGCGTTGTCTCGCTGGAATATGGTCCGAGGGTTTAATTGCAGATAAGGGAGAACAACCGACCAAATTACCTCATCCACGGTCGTCCCAACCATGGCCGATCATGTGTTGACCCATGCTGTTGAAACCGATACCATAGCCTTGTGATGGTGCTAGGCGCTACATGGAAAACCCTGGCTACAGCTGATCGGGATTCCCCTGCATGCAAGCGGCCTGTGACGTTGCTTCTTTGCACTTCTCTTAATCTTGGCATGTTGTTGAACTGTCACTGTTCGATTGACGCACATGCCAGGCAATAAAAAAACCTTCACTTTAATACCGTTCATGGTGCTGCTGCACATTCCATGCGTAAAGGTCCATGGCCCTTTTGTTAATGCACTGAGTTCGTTTTTCTGAATCGTACGTGTTTCCCGACTAATGGTTTGCATGTCCTTGTTGTGATCATTTTGATCCGGGGAATTTATCACTGACACTGTAACACATTAAACCTCTTCATTTTGCATTTCTCTAGGTCCTCTAATGTGGCTTTTATGGCCAAAAATATCTGTTTTGCGGTTTTTTAAAGAGTATATTTGGGTAGCTATAATGTGTAGTTTTGGTCACTTGCATGCAACAGTTATGCCACACAATAATAAGATTATATTTTTAAAACTTAAATTACCACACAGATTTTTCAACTAGTGTTTAGGAAGAGGACTAATTTGAAACACCAGAAGTCGAGCCAATATTTGTTTGCTTGACTACGATATATGAATGAATATGTCGCGTGTTATCAAAAACGTGTTATCATAATAAGTAACGTGATAAAACTGGATGTTTTGACCTACATTAGGATTTAGATTTAGATTTTATTTCGTCTCTCTTGTTAGTTGAGGTTGGAGATGAGAAACACATACAAAAATTAGGGATGGCTTCTGCAAATGATACTTGGCATGCCACAAAGGAATCAACAGGGAATAAGAGTCTGGGTCACGGAGTGACTTCGGCACGAGGAGCTTTCGGACAAGTGTGACACAAAACACATAGCTACAGGGCAATGAAAACATGTGACGGAAACGACAACAACCTACTTTCATCGCTTGGAAATATGTTTGACCATTACAAGGGCTGCAAGTTATGCTCATGTCGAAGTAGTTACAAGAGAGGATGATCCGTGTAGGCAGCGACCTGAATAATCTTGACGAAATAATGTTCACGCACATGACAGAATTAGTGTGAACAAATATTTAACAAGTGTGTTCAGTGGCCCGCTCCCGTCTTCGAGTATAACTTTACACCTGTTACGTCTCTCACAAATTAAAACACCAGCTAGGCATCACGACCGCTTGGTGCTAAGTCATAGTCGCGGGGCGGATTGAAGTGTATGTAACAGATGATTTAATCCTACTGTAGTAGAGGTATAAACACATATAACATATAATACACAAAAACAATCATCTGAATGTGGAATACGATAACCACGAGGGCTTCCAACAGTTAAAACAACTTCAGACAAGGTGCTCGGGTGAACTCGGGCTTCTTGTCTTCACCATATCGATGGAGTTCTTTTATAGTCTCATCGGAATAACATTTCACGATGATCTCACGTTCGGAGAATAAGTCATCGTAGCACTTATGACACAATGTTTTCTTATGAAACAGAAATACAGACATGATTCTTGACCCAGTGTGGTCATTTAAAACGCAGTTGCCGTTCTATGGTTCTATGCATGGCCATGGACTACGACGACTGATGCGCGAGAATGCGAAAGAACTCTTTGAAGAGAAGTACAATGTAGGGAAAATACGGGGTTCGCGACATTATGGTTACTTGGGGCGTTCTCGGACTTTTACCATTTTTGACTGCTTACCAACGATCGAGATCGCGCGACTTGGACCATATTTTTTACATTATTCAATAATTTGCAAACACATTTACTGGATTTGATGACATAAAACACAAATACGAACAATGTGACATTGTAACATTCCTCAGAACTGACCTTGAATCAAAGTGAAGAAGAATTCCTAACATACCTGTTTTGTCATTTGTTCTGGATGCTTCACCTTCTTCCGGAATCCACTCACTGCAAGGACAAACAGTTGAATATTACAGATTTGAGAAGATCTACCCTGAAATGATATGACAACTGTTAGAATAGAATAGACTCCACTCATATACTTCAACATTTTGATTTAATGTGGTGTAAGTGATAATTCGAACTTGCATTTTCTTGTCCACCTTGTCCATCCTACAATATGACACTCTAATAAATGCATTGATACTTCCTACATTTTCAACTGTTTGATAAATTTTCTACCTTTTTTTATGAGCGATGCCACAACCTTGCCAAAGAACATCTTTGGCTTTTCAGGTTCGGATGCTGAAAAGTATGAAAACATACTGTCATACATACTGTAAAATGAATATGTGACATAAGTTATACTTAATCCAGATGAAATACTGTCAATACGATACTAATAGGTAGTCACTGACTGATACATATATATTTTAGTTCACACGCGTGTTGATACCAGCGCCTTGAAGGAGCCTCTTGGCAGGTTCAGTAGCTTAAAAGTAGGAAAGTGGTGAATCCTTTTTGAACAATTTGACTAAAAAGACAAATAAAATAAGACATGCTCATTGCATTTATGTCGTTGTTGTTTAATGACACAATCACCAATATGTCAGTTATACCACAGACGATTGTAGATAATCGAGTCTGGGCGAGATATACCAGTGGTTGATATTATGAACAATATCCAATGCCAATGAAGTACATGTATGATGACATAAAATAAACCAAGTCACCGAACCTGACCCCACGATTGACCCAGTTGCCAAATATGACAAGTAACAGAGGTTTAGGTCTTACTCTAACCTGTGTCATGGCGCCATTCAAAGAATTATAACACAGTTTGGATCTTCTGAGGAAATTGATGATTGTAAAATTGGTTGCCATACATGAATATGTCACATGCATGGTTTCTGAGTTTGTGGCGTTTTAATTTGAATTTCTATAGATTCTTGACAATGTGTACACAGTCTTATATTGACTTATCACTCATGGACACATGGGGTGCCGATATTGACCTTTTCCACCTCGGGTTTGAAATCGGCACATTTTCAATCTGAAGTTAAATGTATACTTATGTCACCCTGTAACAAAATCTATGGACAGACCCAGAACGCTACCTTAATTTATACAGTGGCAAGGTTGTAATCGACAATTTGAAATAATACAAATAATTAATTATTGTCCTACTACTACTAAATAGGAACACCTAACTATTATTTGGCTTTCAATTTTAACTTGTTTTTTAACAGGGATTGATATTTACTGATAATTCTATTGTTTTATGCACAGAGAAATATGTATATCAAAATGCACTAATCGATTCTTTCCGGTTTCCTTGCAGCAAAACGTGAACTCCAGTGTATCTCAAGCATATCTTCGTTGGGCACAGAGGATACAATTCTATGGTAGAAATGTCCATCTGGTTAATGCAGGGACAGAGAGTTACGCCATACCCTTCACAATATGCTCTCTGTTCCCGATCTACTGATGCGACTCGCTCTTGTAGTGTTGTATTCTATAGCCGACTAGCCTAGGAAGGTGTTCTCATTACATCCAAATGAACAGACCCATCCCTACCTTAGCCTAGATGCAACAAATGTGTTTCAGAAAACTGAAAATCCTCTGGCTACATTAACAAGAACGTTTTTACGCACTTCCTGGTTTAATAACTTCACTCCCGGGTTTAGAGAAGCACATAACATGCAAGAAATTTGAAGTTCAATATCTTCAGCTACCTTAAAGATATGTACAGTTTTAGTTTAATGACCTTGAACCTCATTTTCAGCCAATCTCATGCTTGATTATTTCTTTTTGAAAATATGGGTCCATGGTTTGACAAGCAAGAATGACCTAAAATGTGACCTTGACCGTATATGTAGGTCCCGCCCCAAGGATGACATGTATCATCTTTCATTGACATTATACAGTGTTATCGTCAAAACAAACTTTACTTCAACCTGTGACCTCGTCATTGACCCTGACATGACAGGTGACTGTATCAAATATTTCCCATGGCAATGAAAGAAACACATGATATGATACCCCCGGGATGTCCAAGCCTTGCGTGGTCTCAATAACAAAGTGACCCTGCGCCACGGTCATATTCAGAGGAGGATCGAACACAATGATTTACATACCCTTTGCAGCTGATATTACTCTGTCTTGGAGATGGGTTAGCTTGGTCTTATCCTCAATGACTGCCTGTGGAAACAGATAACGTTGATATAAACAGATGTTCTTATATAATGTATCATGATGTCCACTGTATTATATATAAAGGGTGTGTATGTCTCCGACCTCGCTCTTTTATTTATTGATTCAGAACTGTAACTTTAACAACATGGTGATATTATGGTATCCTTACAATTTAGTGTAATCATCTTACCGTTCTTAAAAGTTGGAAAAGGTCCTTCTGGTTTTCCATTCCGTCCTGGAGCTTCATCATCTGTGTTCGACGAACATCGGTCTGCCAGTCACCATCCTCCTCCTCTGTAACACCGTCATAATAAAACTGAACAGGATCCAGCAAACGGTACATAACCAGGCTTACAATTATCACTCTCTACAATACATAGGACGTGTCACTGTTAGATTTAACGCAGTCATATGAAACACCACGTCGCTGGATACAATAATGTGAAAAGTGAATATGGTATGCATACCTAATGATAATCCCTTCTTTAATGGCTCAGCAATCATGCTCGATCTGACAATGTTGGACTGAAAATAAAAATGTCAATGTTCCAAGTAAAGGTGCCATTTTTTGCTGAAATAGACATTTGTTCGTTGAACATTGACTAAACAGCAGACTGTTAACAAGATTTTCACTGGCAACGATGCAATTTTAGAAAGGGGAAAGTGAACTTTTCCTTTTTAAGTACTATGTACCAATATCTTTGTGCCAATAATATGAAGTTTTATTCCAAGACGGTTTATCATCGCCTTGAGTGTTGGTTATTATCAGTTTAACTGTGCAGTTCAATACCGCATCAAGAATAATAACTATACATTACAACTACTTCAATTCCGTTTGTATAGAAAGTTTTGTGTCTAGAACAAATTGATTGTAAAATTTCATCAAAATAAATGTGAATAGATGATTACAACTACACGTGTGCAACAACCATGCTCCTCATCTCAAATGGGTGTTGTTTGTTTCCGTTCAGCAGATTATCAAAATGAAAGTCACAATAAGATATATCGATAGCTGCAGGGGAGCTACAGTTAAACATGAGGAAGGGTTCGGAAGAACACGTGGTCAGAGAATAACCCAAAATACAACCCACACTTACAACATCACATCCCCATATTGGCCTTACGACTGCCGCAGAAAACACTATTCGATAAAGTGCGAGTACAAAAAAACAACTTACGACATCAAGTTCCTGTACCAAACGGAGTAACTTGAGAACATCCACTTCCCACAACCAGTACTCCACCTTCCTTTTCCACTTATCTGAACAGAAATGAGACAATCTAAATTGAACGTCATTTCTTTGTGCACTCACCAATAAATACAATGTAAAGAGGACTTTATCAAACAATATTTCCAATGTCAGAAGCATTTCTAAAAGGCATACCATCGTGCAGGAAACAGAGTTTTTTCTCCATCTCGTGTACTTCCTGAAAGATAAAGTAAGACAATATAAGTTGATGTACTCTCTGTGCTACTTTATAATCCCCGAGCCCGACTGAACAAGTCTGCAGTCTGCACCGAGTCCTCGAAGGACGAGGGGAACATTAACTAACATACAGTGTACACCAACCCATGTCACCCTCGAGACCAGTGAACTAGTTACAATGCAGGTCTGTCTTGGGCATGCGTGATTTTGTCCGAATCCGTAAGAATACCACAGTTAGCGATTTAAAAACTTCTTTCTTTATCAACTGACTCGATCAAACTTAGAGTTATACCCCCTAGATCTATTTCATTCGAAAATATAATATAAGTTTTCAGAGAATATACCCCCTAGATCTATTTCATTCGAAACATATAATATAAGTTTTCAGATAATGTAATGTAACTGGAATATTGTTAAAATCGGTGTTAAACCCTACTGACACACTCAATCACTCACTGTATGTAAAGATGAAATACTAAGCACTCGATTCGCAGACCTACGATTTCAAAAGGCCAACTTATCGACTCCGTCAGGGTGCTATGTACTTACAGTCAGAACATAGAAAATTAAGAAATATCTGAATGATGTTTTTACCTTGTCTGCTGTCTGTAACCGCATCTTCAATTCTTCAACACTGGTAGGATCTTCGTTGAAAGCAATATGTTGTGATGGCGATTTATTCAAAATGATGAATACATAATATACTCAGAACAAATTTAACGAATGCAAACACTTACTAATTATGTTTATACTACAAAATGTCATATATGACAAGAATGTGAGGCCATTATAAACGGTGTCATGTTTCTTGATTTTATTACTCGAAAGCAAAATGTACTTTTGTACAATATAATAATGAGGTGAAAAGTGACATTAAATCGTTTATGGCATATGCATACGATTGTTTATATTGAACAACATTATTTACCTGCCATTTTATGCATAGAATTTAACGTCCATCATAATTTTGGCTAAAAAAATATTTTTCAGTTTTATTGGTCATATTGATTGAGCTCAATTATTGTCTCCTTAACCTACCTTATTGCTCATGCATGTAAAGAGCACAACACTCGTCTAATGCATATCAATGTCTATATACACTGTTAGGAACATTGCTTCATAACAACCATGGTGTGTTGTAAATTGCAATGATTCAGTTGATGGTTTTGATTGTTGAAATTAAACTATCAATGATTGTAACTTGGAATAAATCTTACAACGTGTGTGTGTACATGTATTTGCATATCTTACCAATAGATCGTTTGGATGTTTGAGAAAATAATTGTAATCAATTCACTTATTTTAGAAACTCTTGCGGTAAAACAACTACATCTCTCATACATTATACGAATACACATACCCGTTTGAAATCGCCACACTCGTCCTCGAGGCCTGCAGGGCAAAATGCGAGCATCAAGAACAATGTTCTCATACGATGATAGATCCCACTTCCAGACGTCATTCAGTGATATTGTTGATGCGTGCACTAATCTGGAAATGAAAAACCTCGTCTTGACATGGAAGCGAATATGAGATACAGGTCACAGGCTACTGGGAAAACTTACTGTAGAACCAGGTACATCATAAAGGTCGTACCGTTCCATTGAACCTACCTCAATCTGTCCCTCTCTTCCCTTGACTGACAGACCAGCAGAGTGTCGCCCAGTCTGCTCAGTCTCCTTGCCACCTCCAGCATCAGGACGGTGGCTTCACGTTTAGAATGAAGCCTCACCTCAACGTTGTTACTGTTTATATTTTCCAACAAAAGGATGCAGTGTTCTTTGCTAAGAAATCCTAACTGACTCTCTTTTGCATCTACCTTTGACTCAGCTAATGATGCCCAGAATGCCATAAGTATTTGGTCATACTTGAATGAATTCATCAACAAGGAAGTTTTGGAAACGAATGCTGAAGATATTACGGCGATACTTTGTAACTTTGCAAAGAACACTCCAGGATCTTTCATATCATTCGTGCAAACAACTCCATGTATAACGTTTATGCTTTCATTGGTAAACCGACGTAATTTTGCAGTCACTTCTCTGGCCACTAAGGTGTTGTAACTTCGTACCATATCAGTTTCCTTGTCACAGGTTATCACTGTCAGTACAACCAGGGGCTGGTAAGGAATGGCTAGAAACATGTCACAGCTTATTGGAGTTGGTCTTTCTAACACTGGAAAGTCTAGTGTTATTGCTAAGGATTCTGTCAAATGCACAAAACACGTTGTGTCATCACAGGTGTCCGGTTCTGCACCAGTGACAAGGTTGCAACGATACAGGGATTCATCAGTTTCCAGTAGTGAAAGTAGCATGTCCTTGATGTCCACAATGTGACCCGGCAGGTTGGTTGGAGCGATGTTGACACCGCCTGTGGATATCAAGATCGGTTAATTCACTTCTTGAAGTCAGTGTTAACAGCGAAATAAAAGTATTCTGCTTGCAACGGAAATGTGATGGTTTTTGTTTGCCAATGATAATAACTGTCTTTTCAAGTTATTGGTTTCGTATCTGAATTTCCTTACATATGTCAAACCATCAGAGATCACATGATCAGTGATTAGAAACAGTTCATATCGTAGTCAGAAGCAATAAACGTTATGAGGAAGTTACCAAAACGCAATGTATTCGCAGAAAAATGCAGAAAGCATGCTGGTATCACATGCACGACTATGCAACCTCCGAAAATGATAAGAAATTGTTGCTTTGAATCAGTGATCATCACGATACCACTAAACCAACCATGACAGTAGCGCACACTGGAAATCATGATAACAAACTGTGAAGACTGTGAGGTACGATTCATCACATTAGGGGATAGACTTAGATCATCATCAAGTATAAACACAGTTTAGAGCCATAGCTCACAAGGGAATAAGCTATCAACGAAAGTTTAAATGTAGCATTACCATGGCTTGTTGCGTCAGAAACACTCAACCGTTTTCAGTGACGAATCGATTTTCCTTCGTATTTGACACAGCACGACCTCAATAGTGACGGTTTAGTGATGGTGTGGGATGGCATCACCCACAGTTACACAACAGAATTCCCCAAGTCTTGGTGGACAACTCATGTCTTTGTTATCATGATGTGATTTAGAGGCTGGTCATGGTTCATCACCACTAACTTTCCAAAAATTCATGTGAACACTTGTTTTTACACAAGTGTATATGAATTATACCACTCAAAGTTTGCTAAGGATCAAGTTTTGAAGATATCAAAATATCCTCCAACAAATACAGATTGAAATATCGCGGTACACAATGATTGGGAACACCTATAGGGCCTCAATTTCATCATGTCATGATGTCATTGGCACTATTTGCACGAGGTGCTAAAAAAACTATGTTTGGAGGTACAGTGAGATAATCGCTGTACATCATTATCAGAGAGCAAAACCAACATCATTTGCTACTAAGGATTACAACAACTAATGCAAGTATGTCTCCCTAACGCCAAAGACGTTGTTTGACGCATAGTCATGCTTGAAACTAGGTCACCACAACATCTTGTTGCAGATGTCTTTGGGTGTTAGCCAAAGTGTTATCAGCAGGGAATAGAATCGATACCAGTCATTTGTATCAGCTTCTCAGCGACATTCAGGTCGACAACATCCCATCACCCAGCTGGAAAATAGGTGTCTGCTGATTGTAGCAAGACGTCATCACTTTGTGACTGCCACCACACTCAGAAATGACCTGCGGAACGCCAGTGGCGTTAACGTTTCCCCTGAGACAGTACGCAATCGTCTCCGTGAGGCAGCTTTTACTGAAGACAATTTTCACCCGGCACCATTCAAACACTTATAGGGAGCAGAGATCGCTTCACGGGATAACATTCTGAGAGTTGCTCTTTTTGGGCAAAGAATTTGTTTTCCTGATTGTTAGATTCGGTGAGATACTCTCATTTTGACCGGTATCTGTATGTTGGCATTGTGCAGTACAAGATAACTGACTTTTGTTCATTGACCATGTCTTCTCGCAATATAGTCGTTGGCTACTTCAACAGATGCACATAATTTACCTTTTAAGGTGGTGAACCTTAGAAAATGTTGAGTGATATATTTTTTTCTATTTTAATTAATCATATCAACTGCATTTACCTAACTTGTTTACCCAAAGAAAAGAAACAGTGTACCTTTGCTCATGTAGTGACGCTTAATGTCAGTGATATGTTCTCTTGTCTGCTGTAACTGTGGGCGCAGAAAGTCTTTGCTGTTGAAATAATTGAAACCATCCTCCTTCCCGTTTGATGTATTAATCTGAAAATACTGTCACGTGTAACAATCAGCAGTTCTAAAACATACAGAAAGTCAGTGATAACTGACATTTCAAGTAAATACAAAACAGTGGCCACAAGCATATATGCTTTACCTGTATCTGTATCTTTGCTACTGATACAAACATTCTGATCAACAGGTCATTTTCGTTTTCAGGTGTATATTGAGTGATCCTGCGATACATTTGTCCAAATTAGTATATACAATTACTAATTGATAGACATGTATTTCGTTTGGACTTACTTTTTGTACATGTGTATCACGTGACCTGTTTGGAGTACCTGAAAGTCAACATTCAGTTATAAGTCAAGTCTGGTGTATTTAGTACCTGATAAATGCCGTCTTTGAATTAAAATTTAGGGATAACCGATAATAACCTTTAAGTATTGTATGTTTGAATATGATGCATTGTCAGCCAAGTTCTCACATACATGTAAATGAACGTATAAGCCATGACCCTAAAACAACATATAATAGACATAACTTCACTGTACATCAATACCTTTCAGGAACAGCCATTGTCGACCACAAGGTTCGAACAGATAACTTCGAGTTTCATGCACCACATTCTCAAACTTGGACATGTTCAAATCTTCCACATCAAATGTCGTGATTGTGGACGAGTGAACTGACCTGCAAAGGGAACATATTTCTAAATAATAATAATTTTTCATTTGAACCAGTAACTGTGAGAAATGTATCATCCCATTGCTCCTTTTCTCCGCCATATTCTTGGACACACGTCAGACACGTCAGATATGGGATTACTTGAGAATATATCTGACACTGACTTGTCTTGTTTGAAGGTCAGTCTCACTTATTGTAACAGACACGTATGTGATATGGGCAGGCAAACAAGAGAACAGTTTCGTTTAAGGTTAAAGTCACTGGTTGCATATCGAAAAGCATGACGTCAACCTGAAAATCCTTCATTCATTCTTGTGAGAATACAAACCATTTTGGTTTTAGAATGACATATCAAAACCTATAATTGACCATATGAACGAAAATATAACTGTCAATGCAAGAGAATAACCAGTATAGATTATCCGCCGAAACAGATTCTATTTATCGTAAAGGGCAAACTAGCGGTGAAAACTATATGAATGGATCACTGAAAATCGGTGATGACACCAGGCAGCAGCTCCGTGAGCACCAGCCGATCACACAATTTGAAGACAAGTTTCTGTGTATTTCTTGTCATCTAATTTAAAAGGCGAATTACAATAACTGGCATCAAATTGAGTACCTGTATTGGGTCGTATCTGATGTTGAGTACATGTATTACGTCTCATGTTGAATACATTGAGGATGATACAATATCGAATTCTGAATACATGAATTGTGTCGTATCTAATATTGAGTACATGTATTGTGTCGTATATACTGTTGAGTACATGTATTGTGTCGTATCTAATGTTGAGTACCTGTATTGTGTCTTATCGAATGGCGAGTACCTGTATTGTGTCTTATCGAGTGGCGAATGCTTGTATTCTGTCGTATCTAATCTTGATAACATGTATTGTGTCGTATCTAATCTTCATAACATGTATTGTGTCGTGTCGAATGTTGAGTACATGTACTGTGTCGTATCTAATGTTGAGTACATGTATTGTGTCATAGCTAATGTTGAGTACATGTATTGCGTCATATCTTATGTTGAGTACATGCATTGTGTAATATCTTATGTTGAGTACATGTATTGTGTCATATCTTATGTTGAGTACATGTATTGTGTCGTATCTAATGTTGAGTACATGTATTGTGTCATAGCTAATGTTGAGTACATGTATTGCGTCATATCTTATGTTGAGTACCTGTATTGTGTCATATCTAATGTTGAGTACATGTATTGTGTCATATCTTATGTTAAGTACATGTATTGTGTCATATCTTATGTTGAGCACATGTATTGTGTCATATCTAATGTTGAGTACATGTATTGTGTCATATCTAATGTTGAGTACATGCATTGTGTCATATCTAATGTTGAGTACATGTATTGTGTCATATCTAATGTTGAGTACATGCATTGTGTCATATCTAATGTTAAGTACATGTATTGTGTCGTATCTTATGTTGAGTACATGTATTGTGTCGTATCTTATGTTGAGTACATGTATTGTGTCATATCTTATGTTGAGTAATGTATGGTGTCATATCTAATGTTGAGTACATGTATTGTGTCATATCTTATGTTGAGTACATGTATTGTGTCATATCTTATGTTGAGTACATGTATTGTGTCATATCTAATGTTGAGTACATGTATTGGGTCATATCTAATGTTGAGTACATGTGTTGGGTCGTATCTTATGTTGAGTACATGTATTGTATCCAGATTAAATGAAAGATTTGGCATTTCTTAATGAGATATTTAGCAATACTCCAGCTATATCACGATGGGGGATCACACATTGGGATATGGGCTTTAGACATTGTACTCATGTGTCTTTTATGGAAGAAATCATGCTACAAAAGTTTTGTCCAATTCAAAACTTAAATACTCAAGCTATCGCGTACAAGATCTTTGAATGACGTACGTTGACCCTAAGAACTATCAACACCAGTCACTATTACTAACTAGCCAATATTCAGAGCCCTGCTACCAATGGTTCGCAGTGGAAGACTGAACTCAGATTAACTAAACATGAACTAACCTTGCAATCAAGTAAACATGAAATCCCCTTGTAATCAACTAAATGTGAAATCCCCTTGTAATGTAATGAACAATGAAAATGTGATAAGATAAAATGAAATGGATTTGAAACTTAAAATGAAATTTGATTAGCGTATGTTAACAATGTAATTGGGTAACTCTCTCAACTATTTCTATTCCATTCTATTCTATTTCTGTACTATTCTAATTCACTACTTTGTAACTTAGAGAGAGATATCCATATGAACGCCAGATGCCAACTAAAAATACACTGTGTCTATAGCAAGCGCATTTTACGCTCATCCAGCAAGAAGCACGTTCCCGGACACTGTTCCCGGACGCTTTTTCCCAGACGCTTCAGAACAGAAGTGATGCTTAGTTCATACTGAGTGACTTTGACCTCCAATGGCATTCAATCATATACACCAGGGGTACTTAGGAGGTTTAGGTATGACACATTTAGGTATGAAACATAAGCGTGTGATTGAAAACAAGAATTGTTGCAGCAGTCAAGGCACAATATGCACTTATTTTACACCCTGTAAGTAGAAAGAACTAAGATCTTAATTGTTTCAAGAACATGTTCAGTGGACCCGTGAAGACCCGGGGTAGAATAGGTCTTCAGCAACACATGCTGGTCGTAAAGGGTGACTATGCTTGTCGTAAGAGCCAACTAACGTAATCGGGTGGTCAGACTTGCTGACTTGGTTGATGCATGTCATCGTGTCCCAATTGTGTTGGACCCGTGAAGATCTGGGGTAGAATAGGTCTTCAGCAACTGATGCTTGCCTTAAAAGGCGACTATGCTTGTCGTAAGAGCCGACTAACTTAATCGGGTGGTCAGGCTCGCTGACTTGGTTGATGCATGTCATCGTATCTCAATTGCGTGGATCGATGCTCATGATATTAATCACTTGATTGTCTGGTGAAGCTCGATTATTTACTAACCGCCGTCATATAGCTGGTCTATTGCTGAGTGTGGCGTTAAACAACCAACCAACCAAGTAAACTACGTTTATAATGTACACGCTTATAACGAACTGACGCATATAACGAAATATGTTTTGATCCCGTTGCTGAATATATGCCTATAACGAACTACGGTTATAATGAACTAAAATAAGTGGTCCCTTTGAATTCGTTATAACCATAGTATACTGTATTGTCCTTAGTTTCATTCAATGATAATTAGATGGAAAAAATCGACATATTCTTTGATAATTAATGGTTAGTACTACAGATGTGAATAATGGTCGCCTGATATTTAAGAATGTCATCTCACTATTGTCCAGAAAAGCAACACAAAGTTTGTACTTGGTAGTCATATAATCAAGGCCACAATATCATACTACCTGAGTCTGTCCCTCTCTTCCAGTGAGTTACATATCAGTAGAGTTTCCCCTAGTCTGCTCAGCCTCCTGGCCACCTCCAGCATCAGAGTTGTGGTTCCACTGCCGGGCTCCCATCTTGCCTGAACATATTTACTGTCTATGTTCTCCACAAGATACACACACTGATCTAAGGTGAGAAAGTTGATACAACTGTCATCTACTTCACCTGTCTCTGTCAGGATTGACTTAGTCTCAGCAACAGCTGCCCAGAAGGCCATTATCACGTGTTCATATTTTGATGGAGTCATCAACAGAGAAGTCTTTGGAACAAAGGATGCAGCTAATACTGCAATTCTCTGTAACTTTATGAAGCACGTATCAGTGTCTGTCAGGTCACTCAAACTCAAAACTCCATGAATGACGTTGATGCTCTCATTGGTAAACCTGCGTAGTTTTGAAGTCACTTCTCTGGCCACACTGGTGTTATAATCTCTTATCTCCTCGGTATCACTGCCATCGTCAATCACAGTCAGCACCATGAGGGGTTGATGGGGCATTGCTAAGAAGATGTGACATCTCGTACTTCCTTGCGTCCTTGACACAGGGAAATCTAATAATGTTGCCAATGATTCTGATAAACACAAAAGGCTTGTTGTGTCTTTGTCACTCGTAGATTCACCATTAACAATGTTTTCATGGTAAAGAACTCCGTCCGTCTTCAGCAGTGAAATGAAGGCATCTCTGATATCCAACAGGTGCTCGGGTATCTTTGATGGAACTACATTTAATGTACCTGTAATGTAAGAGTTATTTGTATTATTTGACCCGTGAAGATCCGGGGTAGAATAGGTCTTCAGCAACCCATGCTTGTCGTAAAAGGCGACTAACAGGATCGAATGGTCAGGCTCGCTGACTTGGTTGATGTATGTCATCGATCCCAATGTTCATGTTCATGATGTCAATCACTAGATTGTCTGGTCCAGACTCGATAATTTAAAGACCGCCGCCATATAGCTAGAATATTGCTGATTGCTGCGTTAAACAACGAACACACACACACACACACACACACACACACACACACACACACACACACAAAATAAAAAATATTTGTATTATATTATCGGTCCTTGGACGTTAGAAAGCACAACAGCTGACAATTGCTTATAATCATCATGAGGTCATGAGGCAATTTGTCATGGTATTTCAATATATTTCATGTTAAATAAATAAACATTTTACATTTACCTTTCTTCACAAAGTTACTTTTAATTGCAGAAATGCTGTTGGTGATTGGTTTCAAACGAGGACGCCGAAAATCCTTGCTGTTTAAGCACAATCCTCGCCTTGGTATGTACTGCATTATTTCCTGAAACATTGACATGGAAATCCGTGAGACATTAGACCCAAATAACACCACTGTGACGACGTATCAACAAACACAGATGCCACTAACGAAAGAAAATAGTTTACCCTAATGTTTGTTTGTTGGTTTGTTTATTGTTTAACCCCGCATTCAGCAATATTCCAGATATATGACGGCGGTCTGTAAATAATCGAGTCTGGACCAGAAAATCCAGTGATTGATATGATGAGCATCGATCCAAGTAATTGGGCTACGATGACATGCATCAACCAAGTCAGCGAGCCTAATCACTCGATCCCATTAGTCGCCTCTTACGACAAGCATAGTCGCCTTTTACGGCAAGCATGGGTTGCTGAAGACCTATTCTCCCCGGATCTTCAGGGGTCCCCAAATGTTTGAAAAACGGTTGTATTCATGATCATGTATTTTGGACCACTTGACTAACCATAATTTCATTTAGATATTATTCGAAAGTTCTTTTACCTTTTATGTATGTGTATCTCTATACGTAAATTTCCCATCTGAAATGTAATGAAAGGTTTTACGAGGGTTAATTTGCACATTTAACACATTTAGCTTTTAATGATATTATATACACATTTCATACTTATTTTAAACATGTTTCTGATGCAAGTATTCTTTTCTTACCTGAAGCCGTCACTTTATATGGTCGGCAATGGTGTGCAAAGAAGAACAGAAGTGTATGATATAACTAACTATATGTATGTCACCGAGTTTGATTGGATTTACTTGAAATTGTTTTTTTAAGCAGACCATGTTAGTAAAGCTACAGGATATGGAGACATTTACTGGTGTTTATGTACATCTTAGCAAGAGCAAAGAACTGTGTTCAAGCATTTCAGTATATTTAATATGTTCATGTTTTGTAATGGAACTGACAAAAATAATGAAAAAAGAATGACACGTAAAGATAGCAAATAGTTATCGTCGCTATTTATTGTACCTAAAATTGATCTTTTAAGAAGACCATGTCAGTGACAGTACAAAAGGATATGGAGACGGTTACTGGACTTATTTGTGATCTATTTGTTTACCTCACTACGCTGTTCTCAATGACGGCGTGGAACCATTCTTTGACAGAGAAAGTTGTGACAGTGTCCCCTTCCACTCTGTAAGCTTGCGGTCCTTGTTTGTCATAGAACACTATACCACTGACGGGCTTGACATGTATTTGGATTATAAAATGTTCAGGTGCCTTCTCGTCAGCATCATGTTTGTCACTGTCTCCAGATGGAATAAAAAATACCTCCACTAGCTCATCGTTTGTTTCATGCCCATCATAGTCACAGATTAACACACCTTTTGAAACTCCCTCCTTTAATTTAGCTGCTACATTTTGCTGACTACTGATAGGAACTCGCTGATTTTCCTTGTACTTTGACTTATAATGACTTCCATTGAAGAAATGCTCTTTTTCTGCTATGCCAAAAAAGTAAGTGCCACCTTCTGTGTTCTTTGTAAATGCACTAACGTATTCAAGAAGTTTGTGGTCATCAACCATGAAACTAACTATTTCCTCATCTGTTTCCTTCCCTTTGAAATAACCCTTGAATTGAACTGATCTACTCTCATGCAGTTTGGTTAAATCATCCAATGTATGTCCAGAAGGATGCACTGATTTAAACTGAGTTCTGTTTTTCAGGAATTTTATCAAAGTTAGATCAGATGGATTGATGATTCGTTCATCAAGAGCTATTTTGGTTTTAGAGTCAGATGTTGTGAGATAAACACCCCCTTCAACATACAGTACAAGGAAATCTTTATACTGATGTGTATCCTTTAAAGTATCCTGATCAACACACACAGACAGTTTCTTTTCTTCTTTTAACTTAATGTTCTTCAACTGTTCAATTTCCTTTAATGTCTCAACTACTATTTGTCTCTGCAGCAGTATTGCATCAAGCAACTCCTCACCTAGTGTCTCCTTAGCCTTCAATTTTAGCTTATCCAGCCGTTCCTGTTGACTTTGATGTTCCTTGGTTTTCTTCTCCAGCTTCCCAGATATCTCTTCAAGTACTCCCTGTTGCTTCTTCTGCAGTTTGTCTAGATCTATGGCATAATCACTTAAGAACCGTTTCGTGTATACATCAGTGAACAGGCTTCCATCTTGAATTAAAGTATGAAGTTTGTCATCAGCAAATTCATCAAAGGCCCCAGTAAAGGTGTCTTCTTTTTCTCGTCCAACAAAGTGAATCAGTAGATGACCAGAATTAGAATTGCGGAGTGCGGTTACATTTTTCAACAATTCCTTGGTTTTGATAGCCCGCTTTTCCTTCTTCCTTTTATTTTGTTCCCTGTTTTCCTGTGCTAGCCCATGTATATAGTTGACATGTATGGCCATGCACAAAACATTGGACTGTGTGGAAATGTTTCCTAAGATCCCAAGTGCTTCCTGCCCTCTTGGAATATTTAGTCTGAAACATTCAAGAGATTTTCTATACCGTAACACTTGATTGAAGAGCAAGATGTGAGAAGAATCTAACCGATGAAACAAAGATTTGACTCTTTATCCATATATTTCCTCATAATAGAATATTCTAACAAGTATATGTAACTTATGAATAGTTACAGGGAGAGCTTACTAAACCCTCGCGGTACCTGACGGTCGGTGTCGCGCACTGTGCAGACGTCGCAGTTTGAAAATAACCTTGCTTCAATGTTCTTATTTCTTCACACAGTGTAACCAAATTGCCATCAGACAGTATCTACATTCATGCACAAAACATTGGACTGTGTGGAAATGTTTCCTAAGATCCCAAGTGCTTCCTGCCCTCTTGGAATATTTAGTCTGAAACATTCAAGAGATTTTCTATACCGTAACACTTGATTGAAGAGCAAGATGTGAGAAGAATCTAACCGATGAAACAAAGATTTGACTCTTTATCCATATATTTCCTCATAATAGAATATTCTAACAAGTATATGTAACTTATGAATAGTTACAGGGAGAGCTTACTAAACCCTCGCGGTACCTGACGGTCGGTGTCGCGCACTGTGCAGACGTCGCAGTTTGAAAATAACCTTGCTTCAATGTTCTTATTTCTTCACACAGTGTAACCAAATTGCCATCAGACAGTATCTACATTCATCAAATCAAAAGGGATATGCACTGGCTAGCCATCGGTTAAAGTGGTTGTATTCTAAGTTTGCGACTTTTCTACACTTACTTGGAGGCATCCGAATGTGTGACGTGAAGTCAAGGAAGCGGCCCTGTTTGAAATCTAGATGTCTAACACTGCATAGACGATGATGGAGATATTCATTGAGTAGTCTGTGAGCTTAATTTAGCGATACAAAATCCTAATGAAATAGGCAGTGTATTTCAATTCAAAACCAACTTGACGGAAGTGGTCGTGCTTTGTTCATAGGGAGATAGTTTTGCAATGAGAATGACAGAATCTGATGAAATTCAGGTTACGTCCATATAGGTTTCAGTGTTAAACAGAACCAAAAAAGTCATATTGCTGAATATCAGATATCAATAATTAACAAGATTATACTAACTTACTGTCACGCCAGAGTAAGTACACGTAGTTTCAGTCAAAATCGTTGAAAACGTCTTAATCGGTATTAAACAAATTCCACAAATCTATTTTCACTCGTAACTCAGGCTCAGTTTGATATGAGCATGGCATCGTTGTACAAAGCAGACCGCTTATTTAAGCTTCGGATATTATGGTGTGCCGTCAAGCTTGCGCAGGTGAAAGAAGGAAATATTGTTATTTTTTTGTACAATTATAATGTCATTAAGCATTTTTAATAATTCTAATTGCACTGCCAAGCATATCAAACATACCCTACACATTAAATATTCATTTTCACTCACATTGACCTTTACACAGTCACGCGAGACTAAACTCATAACATACGTGTACACTTTGACATAATTCAACACTCTTCGCTTCATACCTATTATGATACACAATAAATACAACAGTAAGCCGTGTTAACGCTAAACAAACCGACACATCCGCTTATAGTTGACGTCACTATGATTTCAATCATAAACACTCACTCCGCCATCGTTCAACTTCATATGATACGTTTTAGTTAGAATCGGTTACAGCGGTTGCTGTCATGTGTCGATACTATACGGGGATCCGCAATCAGGTACGGTGGTGACTGTGGACATTGTATAAAATGGGTCATGACACGACCCGTTCAGATGTAAGAGACGTGACCTCTGACTGCGTTCCGTGCTTCGAGGTCTGCAATGACAACAACCAGGACAACTTCATGTGTCTGGATTTCAACCGGTGTAGATGCATAGGGCCGGCTTGTGTATTCCCTAACAAGTGATCTAGGTGCCAGGCTACAGGACATGGTACCGTATCTCCGTGCCCCTTACAGTGAGTGAGTGAGTTTAACGCCGCTTCTAACAGTATTCCAGTAATATCAGAGCGTGCCATCTTAATGTGGGAGGAAAGCCTGAAGTGATGCACCTCTTAGACGTTTACCACTTCGGTAAAACCAACGAGCACGGGTATGGTGCTGACAAACCTAGAAACATAATTGGGGCGAATCGGCATTCGAACCCACAATCATAGGTTTCTGTCTTGCCCAAGGGACGCAACTCTGCACAGCAAATCGCGGCGCCTTAGACAAGTGGGCCACCCGTGCCCCTTTGTACACAACAAATGAAGTCCACACTTCCTGAGCAACAGGTTGGCTAGAAATACCACGAGTAAATGGCATATTACTGAAGCAACATTGGGACAAAACCATGCTAATGTATGCACACTTGACAGAACTTCCGTGACCAGCTCCGGCGACTAAAATTATATATGCTGTGAACCTGTTGAGCTAACTGGCACCTTTGCATGAACCCTCAGTTTCAATAGTAGAAGAAGACCCGAAATTGCAAATAAACGTTTGAATTATTCTCCCTAAATGCCCTGAATCACACATAGGCTCAAAAAAAGAAGAAAATGTCAAAACGCCAAAAGACACTTTGGAAAAATTTAAAAACAAACCACAAGACAAAAAAAAGAGAAAATTCCAAATCAAATTCTTAATTCTCTGCAAGCCAAGTTAAAGGTTTGAACAGGAAGAACGAGAAGGGTAAGAAAAATAAGTTCATTAAGCAAAATTAATTGTTCAAATATAATCTAAGGAATAACATTTTAATGACCTCAATGACAGTGATGAGAAAAGACACACCATAGGATTCCAGTGAAAGGTTTTGGAACAGTTGTGGGCTTTAGCCAACAACTGCAACCTCGAGGAACCATGGGTTGAGGATAATAATAATGTAGTTGACAAAATATAGTCACCATTGTTGTGTTTCATTACCTCCATTTGCCTGAAAAGGGTAAATAAAAAGTTCAAATCTAATAAGGCGCCAGGTCCTGATGGTGTTCAAAACCGCTTTTGGAAACTGTTCCCGTGTGTCCAAACGCCATTACTTTTAAATTCTCTGCAATCATCGCCATATACAACAGGCCATCAACGGCATCCTCAACCGACGTACCAAATACATTTGCAAACCTGATCTCATCAGGGAACTGGACCATCTCAAGGAAATATTCGCGTTCCTCAACAGTTACGCTGCCCACCTTATCTCCACAACCATCCACAAGGACCTCAAGAACTCTGACCCCATACCCAAACCTGCCCATCAGAATCACCATACCCTACCAAGGCCCTGTCACTCATCAGATTTCCCGCCTCGTCAAGAACAAAGCCAAAATAGATGTCACCTTTTCTAGCGGCAAGTCCATCAAGACCCATCTACAAGCCAATAACAGAGGCACAATCAGTGTAAGTTCCAAATCCCGAGGATGTATATACCAGATCCCCTGCAACTGTGGCCACCAGTCTATTGGAGAAACCCTCAGACCCCTCAACACCAGACTCAAAGAACATCAGAACTCTGTCAACAATCTAGACCTGAAATCCGCTATTTCAAAACAGATCCTCAAGAACCAAGACCATAACATCATGTGGGAAGCCACCAAAGTCCTGTCTAACAACAACAACTGGCGACAAAGAAAGCTACAAGAAGCCATTGACTTCAGGAGACACCAGCCAGCCATGAACCGTGACCAGGGAACCTTTCTGCCGAGTGCTTGGGACTTATTGCTTTGATCTTTGTCTAATTATCAAGCTGGCTTCCATTTGTTCATTGCTATTTCTATTCTTTTACCTATCAAAGCTAATTACCCCCGGCCTCCCGTTTGACCATTGTCTACTGCCAATTACCAATCAGTGATAATTTAAGTCCAGGCTTCCATTTGTCGAGAACTATCAGCGCTTATTTCTGTAAAGTGTTGGCTTCCATTGTCTTTTGCTAATCATCTATTAGCGCCAAATATCTGTTGGCTTCCCTTGTTAAGTTTCCACCTTTTGTTATCTTATTACTGCCGTTGTTCTTACATGACATTGTACATATATATGCTTTCTGCCTCATAGCATTCACAACACTTCCGGGAGGTCACTCGAAAACATCGTCCCGACCGAGTATGGCGAAAACACGACACACACCACCACCACCAAACCAGCTAACTCGCCACCTCAAAACACCAAAAACGCAAACTCGACACATCCACTCCACCTCCATCGCCCACACCCTCCCCGGCCACCTTCCTCACCACCTTCGCCCTCTACTTCTTCTCAGCAGGCTCAGGCACCACTCTCTCACTAGAACTTTCGGCAGATAAAATAGGACTTTGGTTTAAAAGAGAAAAAATAAATTACAATAATATTAAAAAAGCCAACAAAGGATACCATATAATTTTCCCTAACTGAGAATCTTACAACGCAGCAAATAAAATAACTCAAATATTCCACGTCACAGTAATCAAACAAACACCTAATTGGCAACAATATACACGAGGCGTAATTAGGGTTAACCCAAGGGAAACAACTGAGGACTTACAATTATACTCGCTAGAAGCTAACATAAACCAAGACCAAAACCCTCAACCCCTAATCACCAGCACGCGTAGAATAACCTCAACTAGAAACGGAAAAACGGTCCCAACCTCCATTGTCATAATCAACTTAAAAAAGACCGCTAAATTCCCTGAAGCCCCCAAACACATATCCTTCGGAGCCCACACCAACTTAGAAGTCAAACCCTATATAAAGCAGGTTAAGCAATGTACAAAGTGCTTCAAATACAACCACACTGCCTCCCAATGCACATACCGTAAAACTAAATGTAAAAAATGCGCACAAACACACTGCCCAGGCATATGCACACCCTGGTGCATCCACTGCAAATCCACCCAACACACTTCACTCTCAAACCAATGCCCATACAGACACACACTCACCCAGCAGGCCAACAAACACATAAACATAGACACGGCTAAAATCCAAACACGAAAATTTGCTACACCTGCATCTAAACCACTCCCCCCTACACCACACCCAAACACCATCCCACAAACAAACACCACACCCATAACCGACAGCTCTGTCTGGGCCTCTCTACCGAGAAACCGCACCCACCTCACACACACAAGCAGCCACTCAACCAACCACGAACCCTCCCACATCTCACATAGCCAAAACATCAACCCCCGCATGCAAAACAAACCTCAAAATGACCACCACAACACGACCCTCATCCAAGCACCCTACAGCCCAAATGGTAACAACACTCTCCTACAAGCAAGCACAACAACAAAACACAAACACTAAGAAATCATCAGCTACACCCATCCAACAAACACCTTCACAATCCTTCACATCACTTGCCTCCCCCATGGAAACTCAATCAGCTAAACCTAATCTAACCGATGACGAAGATTTCTCCACTACTGAGGAAACAATAGACACTAC